ACATTGAAGTGTGAACAGTTTTTTTTTGCATAGAATATTACGTTAGTAGCAGTTGTGTCTTCAAGTTTGAAAATAAAGACTATCTGGGTCTGTGGAACTCCTAATCATCTCTGCTTAACCCATTAAAAGCAAAGCACACTGCAATATCTGAGTAACTCGAACACTGGATTTTTATAGCAGCTTGCACCATGTTGGACATGTGACACTGTATTAGTGGAGTGCAGTGCCTGGGTCTTTTAAGTCAATGAAACACTTTGTTTCTTCTTCATCTTGCAGGCGCAATCTGAGGAACTGGGTTGCGATGAACTGAACGAGATTAATGCACGATTGCAGCACCAGCTGAACCAGGAGAAGAATGACATGCAGATGAAGAGTGAAGAGCTCAACATCCTCATCAGGTCTTATGTCAGCACTGATTTGCATCCAGGATAGAGCAGAGATGGCGAAAATTTAAAAAAACAAAAATGTATCTGTTTTCCAGATGTTTTAAGGATTTCCAGCTGCAGCGGGCAAATAAGCTGGAGTTACGTAAACCTCCCGAGGATGTGAGTGTAGTGAGGAGAACAGAGATCTACTTTGCACAGGCCCGCTGGTGTTTGACAGAAGAGGACGGACAGCTCGGTATCGCTGAGCTGGAGCTGCAGAGATTTATGTACAGCAAGGTGAGCAGATGCTGATAATCCATCCAGAGCTTGGAGACATTCCATCTGCCTCTCACCACAGCCCACAAATTCACAGGCTTTAGTTCCTTAGTGCATTTTAAAAACTGGATAAGAGGTTAACAGATGTTATTTGATATTCTCCTGCTGATAAGATCACTGAGTGATAACCACTTTGAAAAATGTCTCCTTGCAGCTGAACAAGTCTGATGATACAGCAGAGCATCTTTTGGAGCTTGGGTGGTTCACAATGAACAACCTGCTACCGAACGCAGCGTACAAGGTAAATAACTTCATCGGAATATTCAGATTAGGCCGAATAGCTTATTTTCACTTGCTTTACATTTATTTACTTTGCTTTTTGGTTGCTGAAGCTTTGAGACTAGCCAGTCCTCTCTTCTACAAACCACTTTGCATTGTGTCACTTTACAACCAAGCACAATGTGACATACATGGCAGACATCAATTTGATAACTAACTTATTTGTGCCTGGTTTCCTCTGTGCAGCGTTTGAGGGTATGTATACAGCTGGAACAGTGAAGAGAAGTTTCATATTGTGCATGTGCACCTGAGTCATAGACGCATGTTTGAGCCATTAGTTCACTCAACCTTACAGTGTCTGCCTTCTTTCCTGTGTTCATTTCATCAATGAAACATGGTGTTTGTGTCTTTTTCAAACTCAATCTCAGTAGAGCTTTTTCAAATCAAATCACTTTTGTGTGTGTGTGTGCATGCGTGCGTGTGCATGCATGCGTTTGAATCTAATTCTCTCATCTCTTTTAGGTCGTACTTCGTCCACAGAGTAACTGCCAGTCTGGACGCCAGTTTGCTTTGCGGATCTTCAGCAAAGTGCGCCCCCCTGTGGGAGGAATCTCTGTGAAGGAACACTTTGAGGTGAGAATGAAGACTCTAAAACACTTTTATGGTGCTTGATTTAATGTTTTTTCTAACACTATTTTGTTTTCATCATCAGGTGAATGTGGTGCCTCTCACCATCCAGCTGATGTACCAGTTCTTCAAACGAATGATGGGGTTTTTCTTCCCGGGGAGAAATGTTGAAGAGGAGGAGGTCACAGATGAAGAAGACAAATTTAGGCTGGTTACTACTGGTATGCTTTTATCAACAGCTGTAATATAACCGTAGCACTTCATCTCCAGACTCTCTGTGTGATCATCAGCCTGAAATTTATACTGCCTAAATGATCAATAGTTTCCATTTTCTCTACCAGACTTGCAGTGTCAAGTTGCTTTTCTGTTATGTCATCCCTCTGAGCTCTATGTAGAGCCTCAGCCACTTTGAATATGACCTTGATGTGAGACTCGGTGGGAGTATAAAGTGTAGAGTCACCCAGAGGCCAGAGAGCTTATTCTAATATTGTCCGTGATACAGGTATCCCTGTCAAACCTCGGCCATTGTCAGAGGACACCATGGGTGCTATGGGTCCCAGCAAAGGTGTCACCCAGGGACTGAACCGCACTGCTGGGGTTAGAAGGTCATTCAGGAAGGCTCCAGAGGTAGAGATGCTGTTTTATGTGTGCTAAAATGTATAGAACTTTATTTTAAGGCAGAGTAAGTAGACTTTATATTTTGTCACTCAGCATCCTGTCGATGACATTGATAAGATGAAAGAGCGAGCTGCAATGAACAACTCATTCATCTACATCAAGATTCCACAAGTGCCTCTCTGTGTCAGCTATAAGGTGGGTTTCTGTGCATAACAGCTGCTACATACCTCTACAGTAAGATTCAGTACCCATTTATTCATTGGTTTAAATGCAAAGATCAACAAAAATCATCCATACAAAATATGTTTGACTAAGCATTGTTTAACTGCCAAATATTAGATATTAGAATATAACTAACTTTGTCACCAGGTGAAAATCTTTCTGTTTTTCAGAAACAAAACAACCAATTTTTAACCTCTGACCCAAGCTTGTGTTTGAGATGCATTTTGAGATCGTTGGATCATACATATAAAAACATTCATCTTTAAACGGATAGTAATTTTTTTTAAAAATGCATCTCCTCGTGTGAGGAGAAGAGGGTTATTTCACAGCTTAATACAATAAAGCATTAACAAAGCATTAACAAAGCATAAAGCACTGCTTCATTCTGTTCAATATCAATAAAATGGAGAAAAGCCTAAATGTGATGTCCTCATATGAGCACAGAGGGTCTCACCTTGCACTGGGCCTTAGGTTGGCCCTCAGTTCTGTCTGAAACCATCTTAAAGCCAATCCTCCTTTTAAGCCAACTTTACACTGATAGGCTGCTTACAAACACAAGGTTTGAACAGCAGATGGGTGGTGGCTCATAGCCAGATCTGTGCGACATCATTTAAGAGCTACAATATATTTAAAAGCTTTTGGCTCACAGGTACCCACGTTTGGATTGGTTCCATTTTAAACAGTTAACAGGTGAATCTTCAAAGAAATCTGTGGCTCAAAAAAGATTGTACTGAGCTATGAATGCATCCGACAAACACCCAGAGGTTGTTAGTAAGCATACCATGTTTTCTTTACATAGTTTGCAAACAAACAAACAAAAAAAATAGAGAATTTCTACGTTACACACCAAATCTTTAACCAGCATAGTTTTTTAAACATAGATATAAGAAAATTGAAGCTCAGCTTTAGTACCATTCATTTCCTGCATTGCCCAACCTTGTCATATTACATACAGTGATTGTTTGTGCAAACACTGACATTATTATTTAAAATGCTGACAATGAATATCCATTAAGAGAACAGATCCCCTTTAATCTTGTGTTTGCCTGTGAAATGTTCGTCTCTCTCAGGGTGAAAAGAACAGTGTCGACTGGAAGGACTTGAATCTGGTTCTCCCTTGCTTGGAGTACCATAACAATACATGGACATGGCTCGACTTTGCCATGGCTGTTAAAAGAGACAGCCGAAAAGCACTTGTAGCACAGGTACATTAACGTTCTTATCTCTTCATTAAAGGACAGGCAGATCTTTGATATTTTTAAACTTGTCTTTTTTGCTCCTTGCTGCTCAGATGATAAAAGAGAAACTGCGTCTGAAGCCAGCTTCGGGCTCAGACTTGAGGGGGAAGGCATCTGAAGGGAAGGCGGACAACAGCCTGCAGCAGCAGGAAGAAGATGAGAAAGCACGACTCCTCATCGGTCTCAGCACTGCAGACAAGAGCTCCGGCAAGAAGAGTATATTCAGACGACATAAGTGACGCCTGGAATTGAGTGGATAGTCGTCTACAGCAGCTGCAGGGAAAAAGTAAAGAGCATCACTCCTGCTTTGTGAATCAGGATGAAAAAGGGGGCACGATGGAATATTTCAAGTGGATTTAGGAAATATCTTACTGTATCACATGAGCCTGCTGATCTTTCTTTCTTTTTTTCTTTTCTTTTTTTTCAGTTAACTCCTGTTGTGTCTTAGGTTTGAATCTCAAGCAGCTCCAGGATAACTGGAGTGCCATTTTGACCAAATATAAATTATTCTGTTTATTTGTGTGCCATTTAAAAACTTCACTCTGGTGTCATTAACTGCAACCTTTGGAAAGAACGACCGCTTTGGTTGCACTGAATGTAGCGAGGAAGGTTTACAGTATGTAGCTGGCACTTCACTGTTACTGTTTCCTCTGCTGAAAATCCCAGACCGACATGCTACTTCCTGCGGGCTCAGGAACACGGTGCACTCTGCTTGAAGAAATGACACTTAACTGAAGCACCTGTCACTTGTTTAAAACAAAAAAACAAATCTGATCATAGAATATGTTTTATCATTTAAAGCTTAAAGAAACTGATTGTGGCTGTATGACTGTCGCTGACAGGAAGGCCTTTATCCCCATATAAAATGCTATTTTATATTTTCCATGTTGAATGGTGGCCTGCTTCCTCTCAGTTCACTGTTTTTCTGTACCTCACCTTTTCTGTACCTCAATATGACAGGAAAAGAGCAACAAAAACATGGTGATGTGTGGTAAAATGTGGCACTTGGTGTGTGTGACAGTATTGTGGCAAAAAAAGAATGCGTGCTGCACCTAACTGCTGAGTGTGTTTTGTAATTTGAACACTAAAGCACTTTTATGCAAAGTATTTTGATATTTTTGTAACCGCGGTTGTTTTCCGTTGAAATGTTGCTAAATCCTGATGTTTGTCACATTTCTGATCAGCCCTGAGTATTTCAATTAAAAGGATCGTATCATGGCCCATTTGTGTCAGCTTATCTCTCAATAAGTGTTATTAGTGTGTGTGCTCGTGTGTGTGTGTTTGGTCTGTTGATCGATCACAGATCTGACAGCTGTAACTGGAGCGGAATAGCGCTCTTCCCGCGAACACGTGGGTGTCATGGCCGAGACGCAACTGTGCGACGCTGACAGTGAGAACAGACGCGAGGCGAGACGCTGGATTTGTGGTGGTCTTACATATTTTATTTATTTAGTTTTTGATTGAATTACTTGGGTCTGTCGGTTTCTGAGGATGCGATGGGCGGTGAGGTCAGTAAAAACCGAAAGGTGAGTCAGTATGATGAGGCGCAGATCGGAGTTGTTTACCTTTTAACACGCTGTAGATATGGAGTCGTCACGTGTAGCGACCCCTAGATGGGGTAAGAGAAGATGAAGGCAGTGGTATTTGAAAGTCTCTTCTGCACCGATCAGCTCACAAGTGGACACAGACCTTCAGTCTGCGGCTCAAATCAGCTTCAGATCGTCTCTTTATTTATTTATTTGTGGGGGGTCATGTGTGATCTATGAGCTACAAAATGTTTCTACCCCATTTACCTCCAACATTAGTTAGTGATGCCAACTAAAAACCTAACCAAGCGCTGCATTTCTTAGTTATTTTTGAGGCTTTAAAGTTTAGCTTTTATTTAAATCAATATTTCATAAAGTCAAAAGCATAACTGCAGTGTATTTCACATTATTCCTCCTGTGTAAAAGCTTTCAGCTCACTAACGCACTGTATTTTACGTCATTCAAATCTCAACAAAACCTAAGTCAGCATCATTACAAAACCTCAGTCTGCACATTGTGGACAGGTCGTGCAGAGTTCGTGATGCCAGCTCATCATTCATTTCCAGAAACAACAACAACACCCCCACAAATGCACAGCGCCGCCTCCTTGTTTTACTGTCCTGGTGATGTTCTTCCTGTCATGCATCCTTCTTATTCCAGTGTTCAGTCACAAACTCTCCAAGGCTACACAGATGTTTCTTTCCTGCAGATTTTATTTATATTTATTTATTTAGTCTTTTGTTATAGTCTCTACGGATACGTTTGTTGGTTTCCTGCCTTGCCAAATTTTGGTTCTACCAGCTGTTAATAATTGTGATGTGGCTGTATTACAAAACATATTGCTGTTGTTCAGAGAGTGGAAGAAACACTTTCATTACTATTAAATATTACTGATTTTAGTTGCAACTGAATAGAACTATATGCAGTATTTCCATTCACCAGCAGATCATCTTGACCACGTCTACATGCGTAGACGTGTTGAGTTGCTGGCGCGTGATTGGTTGATTAGATTGCATTAATAAAGTGTCCAAGGAGTGTTTCCCAAATAGTTATCAGATTTAATTACAGAGTTATACTCTGCAGTTACACGTTTCAAACAAATGCAGTATGCAAAATAGATTCGCGTGTACAGAGGTATCAGCATAAAGTGAGGATAAATAAAATCTGAATAGTAAATATATATTATATATTATAATTTTTTCTTTTAAAATCTAGAGCGAGGGGCCGGCTGCTCAGCGTCGATTCAGCCACGGGTTCCTCTCGAACGTGGGGGTCTCCATCGTTCATAGACTCGGACACTCAGCTGTATTTTCTCGCCCTGTGGGAGCAGACAGCAGGCAGCCCATCAGACTCCTGTTGCCTCCAGAGGACGGCGCTGAGGCGTCCGGCGCAGACCCGACTCCTGCGGCTTTTATCTCTGTCTTTCTGCCCGAGTTCCCACACCGCAGATGTCCTGATCATTTCCAGGTACTGCGGACCACAACACAACCCAGTTAAAGACGCAAAGAGAAGAAGTTCTTTAGGAGAAACAGAAAGATAACAGGGCCTAATTCTGTGCTTACAGATCCTGGGCTTCATCGCTAAAGGCTCATTTGGACCCATCCTAAAAGTCAAAGATATTTCCAAAGAGAAGATCTATGCAGTTAAGGTCAATCCAGTATTAACTAAAGATGTTAAAAATGTGATACTTTTGGACATCTTTAGTGTAATTTTCTTCCTGTGTTGTCATACAGGTTCTGCCAAAGTCTGAGTTATTGAAGCACGGAGTCCTGGAGCAGTCGAAAGAGGAAGTCATCATTCAGGTACAACATTGATAGAAACAAAATTCAAATAGTTGAAATTAAATAATCAAATAAATGTTTATGTCACCTGTTCAGCTTTTTTAACCATGACACAAGTAAATAGGGATTGTAGCAGAGATTGTTTTTTACAGACATGGGCAAAATTTAAGCTCCTGTAGGAACCCCTATGCTGAGGCTAATGATAAACGAGAAATTATTATGCCAATAAACAAATATTACATCTGCATACAGCTGAATTATAGAGTGCTATAAACTGTCTATGTGCTGGCTATAAATACTTACTAATAGGTCAAAATGCAATATTCTTAGTAGAGCTTCTCAAAGCATAAACTGGAGAGGATATCATTGCTGAAAGGAATGTATTCATGTCAAGCAAACATTTCTAAATTTAATGCAAATAGTAGTTATATGGTTATTATAGGAAAGCACAAACTATGTACAATTATAAATGTGATGATAAAAGTGGACCAATTATGCTCATTTCCAGCTTCATATTGCCGTCTTTGGATGCTACTATCCAGAAAGGGAGTGCAAACAGGCAAACCCAGGTGTAGATACAGCTGAGGGGAAATGGAATAAATTAAGCTGATTTTTAATAAACAATAGCGAAGGTGAAATGAGCCTTGGGGTTGCCGGAGGTGGCGTCTAGGCTGATGGCTGAGCCAGAGGGCTGGGTGCATTGTTGGGCAGACTGAGCAGGAGATAGAGACAAGACCGGAGCCAAGCTAAGGGTAAATATGAAAAATAAGATGCAAGAATCAGGACAAGTGGTAATGATCTAACTTTAACAATAAACTCAAAGGCTTGACTGTAGAGTGCCGCATAAAGCATGACTCACAATCCAAAATAATCCTTATCTGTCTAATACATAGCTTTGCTCCACCACTTCTGTTTATCCACTGTCGGGAGCTTTTGTTCTGATTGGCTGTACTTTACAAACACAAGGTTTGTCATCAGGTGGGTGGATTCTCAGAACTCACAGCAAAAATCGATGACCAGTCTGATGAACTGTACACTGACTTCAGTATTTAAAATGTTGCTATAATATGAGCATCATTTATAACAGTTTAAGACAGTAAATAAGTAATGACTTAATAGGTCCACTTAAAGGATTACAGTAGGTGGTGTGGCATAGTTTCTGTCCATAGTCCGTAGTCCTCACGCTGCAGGAAACTCTCTGTGCATCCCTCACTAAATGTTCACTGTTCATCTGTGTGTGTCGACTGTTGCATTGCAGCGGCAGCTCAAACACCCTTTTATCCACAATCTGCAGGACTGCTGGCAGACGCAGCGCCATCTCTTCATTAGTGAGTTAATAAATAGAAACGATGGCACCGCTCGACCCTCCCTTCTTCCGCTATCCTTTGTTGTTCCCGAGAAGTTCCCCCTTTCCTCGTCTTTGGTCCCATAGAATAAAAAGTTGTCAACTGTAAAACCAAGCAGTCTAAAAAAAAATCTCTGGATAGTGAAGAGGTGCAGTGCCATCTAATGAGCGTCCTGGGTAAAACTGTCCTCTGTGGCTGCAGCTGCTGTGTGACCTTTGCTTACCTAGTGTTGTCACAAATTCAGGTTTTTTTCAGTTAAGATTACTGAAGTGGCTAAAAGATGTTTAACAAAACAAAGAGCATGTGTGTTCTAGACTTAACCCTCTTCCTGACTTCTTCCTTTCCCAAACCACAGTGGGATGAACAAATCATTTTTTGTTTTCTTTTACTTTACGTTTCCTTGCAGATTGCTTTATTTTATTTTTATTTCCACCTTTAGTGATCTGCTTTACCCACGCTGCCAATTTCAAAGTGCTGAGAAGTATGTTTGTGTCTGGTCCTCTGCAGTGTGTGACTACTGCAGTACTGGTGACCTGCACACTTGTTGGTTGCTGAGGGGCCACTTTGGGGAGGAAGAGGTTCGGCTCATTGCTGCAGAGCTGGGCAGCGCACTAGGTTAGTGCTCATCAAATGTCTTGTACTGTCACAGAAATTATGCTTGAGCGCACAGTACACTTTTTTCTTTGAAAAAAAGATTAATGTCATTTAATTCTTGCTCTCTGTCTCTGATTTATTTCTAGGATTTCTACATGACTTAGGAATCATGCACAGAGATATAAAAGTATGATATTTTTCATTTTAATCACTCTTGTAACTTCCACACGTGTGTGTTTAGAACTTTTAATGGTTATGGCTTTGCTGCTTTTTTTTTCAGATGGAGAACATTCTGTTAAATGATCAAGGTAATGCTCTTCTGCAGTTGTTGATGATACACTTTTAAGACTGAAGTATTTAGAGAAATCATGGTTAGATGAGTACAGATGCAATGCAGGTAACAGCAGATAAGCATGACATCACAGCTCAGGAGCTTTGCCAAGACACTAACTTAAAATCTCTTTAATATAAACTTGACAACTTCAAGACCCCTCTTACGGAAACATTTATGGTTTTATTTCTACAAATCAGTCTCTCTTTGTTTTTTTGCCTCTATTCAGGTCACCTTCGACTGTCTGATTTCGGTCTGTCTCGCCGCCTGAAACGAGGAGGGCGAGCTTTCACAATATGTGGGACGATCCAGTACATGGGTGAGATTTGTGGTCGTGCCACAGATACTCTGTGATTGTTTTCCATGACTAACATTAACATGAGAGCCTCACCTGCGTTTCATTCCCCCTGGATTCAGTTGACCCAGTTGTGAATGGGATGCACCTGTAATGTACTCTGCATGTTATTACTTTTTGCTCTATTATTAAGAGGTATTTTCTGCCCTGCATTTAACTTTTTCCTTTTATGCACACACATATATATAAACATATATGTGGATGTGTGGATCTCTGTTTTGGGTGAGCAGCTCCTGAAATCTTGAGCGGGGGTCCGTACAACCATGCTGCTGACTGGTGGTCTCTTGGGATTATGCTGTTCTCACTGGCGACAGGAAAGGTGAAGACACTTAAACTCACTATTTCACGGCTCTGTGTGTAGAAAAGTGCCTGAAAGTGCAGATTATTTTTGCTTTAAATCCACTTGTTTCTCTATTTTTAGTTTCCACTAATGGCAGAAATAGACCACTGTCGCATGCTGGCAAAGGTCAGAGATTTTTCTTATGTGGTGCCTGAGACGTTCAGCTCTGCTCTGATCCTACTCCTTACTGAGGTCAGTATCCACTGCTCTTTTTACTTTGTGCCACCTTAGAGCTATAGTGACATACTCATCTCTTTATCACCATACTGATGTAGCTTTTGTGCAAGAATCCGATGAACCGCCTTCGTAATCTGGAGTGTTTCAAGATGCAGACGTTCTTCCGTGGCACTTCATTCAACCCTTACATCCTCCAGAAGACACCGGTTGAATTCATCCTGGAGCTTAGGACGCACCCCGACTGGGCAGCCAAATCCGCAAGAGGCTTTTCATTGGATTACTTTGATAACTTTGACTGTGATCAAATCCTTCACTCCCCCGTGAGTCCCAGTGAAGTCATAGGGTAGTCAAAGTCTCCTACTTTGGCCAGTGTGGACCTAAAATCGGCTGCAGAGCAGACTTGCAAAGCGAAAAATCGATCTGTTTTTAAGGATACTAGATACATGAATTCTGCATGTGATGGCATTTCCATAACAGACTTGTTTCTCTACAGACTTATGTTACCTCTTGGAATTGAAAGTTGTATTTGGACCCCAAAGCGCTTTACACATCCAGTCATGCACCCATTCACATTCATCCTGGTGGTGATGGCAAGCTACATTGTAGCCACAGCCATCCTGGGGCCCTCTGACCACCACCAGTAGGCAACAACAGGTGAAGTGTCTTGCCCAAGGACACAACGACCGAGACTGTCTGACCCGGGGCTCGAACAGGCAACCTTCCAATTACAATGCGAACGCCCAACTCTTGAGCCACGATCGCCCCATGTTATGCATTTTTAACTGAAACTTCAGCATGTCTCTCCCATGATGCAGTTGAAGGTGAGGTTTTGATGTCTCTATACACATGTGTCCTTGTATTAACTGTATATCATTTTATGTTGTTGCTAACAGTTGTTTAATATACATTGTCTGTTGTTTTTAAATGCAATTGCTCAAATAAAGTTTAATTTTTTAAATCAAGTATTCATTTATTTGTGTTTATTATTTCTTAATACTCTATGATGGGTGGGGGAGTAGAGCTACTACAAGGACCGACCAGTGATGAAAAACAAATGAGTGACACTGAGTTGAATGAACACTGTCTTCCTGACCTTTGTTTCACTGATTAAACTGGGTGTGTTAATGATTAATAAAAGAATTGCGGGGCCTTAACTTTTTTTGGAAACAGTTTAAAGACCACAGAGCTACACGGTGGTTTTATATTTCTGTGTTTAATGGTGGACCATGTTTTTCTTGTTTTCCCCATTGCTGTGTAGTCAACCATTTCTGGATTTTAAGATTAGACTTAAAACTTATAGTTAGTTAATTAGTTATAGTTAGGACTGGATCAGGTCACCCTGAACCATCATGCCTGCCTTGCTCAGGGAACTTTATGTTGACAGGCAGTTCAAGAAAGAGGTCACATACACTGTAAAGACCCAGCTCTCTTTTAGGTTGGACGTTTTTACTTCTATAGAATAAAAATGAGGGAACACCAACCTGAAAGGGTTTCTTTTATATTTCTGTATATCAGCACTAGCACAAAAACATAAATGAGCCTGCTGTATTTTCTGTTGGGCACTTTTCTTATCTCAGGTATCTCAGGCAGCCTTGGGTTGGCCTATTTACAGGAGTGCTCACAAACCCACTGAGGACAACCAATAATAGGACAGAAAATTGAGGACCAGATAAAGTATCATCATTAGATGCTTTTAATTAGGTAACAGAGAAAAAGTCGAGGGTCCCAGAGGAAGCAGCCACACATAATTGCTGTACTTCTTGAAGTCATGAATCTATTTAAAACTGTATCTCCTGAATGGGAGTGCACCAGCTCCTCCCACCACTGCCTCCTGACATTGAATTCCCTCTCAGGCCCTTGTCTTAGACAGGTCCACCATGCCTGTGTTGTGGCTGTATAGTGGCAGGCAGTCCATTGACCCATATCTGCTTTTAGAGGCACACTGACCCACAATAGTGAAGAGAGGAGTCCCCTGAAATCCTGGAGGGCCATCCCACAGACTCTCACCAAATAGTAACATTACATAACTGAACACAACAGAAAACATCAGTTGCAGCTTATCCTGCAAATGTGCAGAAAGACACAGATTGACACGCAAGTAGTCACAATCAAATTCAAAAGCCATGAAATGATCCCGACTGGCTGATGATAAGCTTCGTTCAAGTTTGCATTTTAAACTTTTTAAACCATACACATTATTATTATTCAAAGTATTATTATTTGAAACTTTTCATTTTCAAACAGAAGCCAATTACACAAAATAAAGAAGCAAAAAAAATGGTTGAAAAACCTGCTCTTCATAGTGGAAATGATCCAGTTGACCTAATTTCCTTCTGATTTGGCCCATTTTGGCCCACTTTTACACTGACTGGAACCTGGAAATGATTTCTATTTCTGGAACTTTCCATCATTTTCTTCACAGTTTAAAGTGCTGCGGAAAAGCCACTGAGTGCACGAATTGCTCGGAGACTCAAACACCCCTGAGAATTTGAGGGTGAAGATCAAATTATCAGGAGATTTCAAGCCATCCTCAGGGCACATTTTTACTAATTAGAGTAAAAATAGCACACCATGGGGTGTGGTTAAACGCCTCATTTAGGCCCTTATTGGACAAAAGGTTCTGACTTAATACATGATTTTGTGTTTTGCAAGCAACCTGAACATGTGGGAAGCATTAAAAAAAACAATTTGCATGTAAAAGATAAAGTAAACTAGTTTAAAACGCCAGGTTTCTAACCATTGCTGAGTCAAAGTGAGTGTGGCCATCTGAAAAATTCTATATCAATGTGATAAAGATGAAGCTAAATGAATTTGAAAAAAAAAAATCACTATATTTAAATAGAACAATGAATCATCACTTTTTTTTTTATTCATGTGGGGCAAAGGTGGGCGTACACGCTCCGCCCAGGGGTGTTGGCTTGTGAGGTGTGACACACTTGAGCTGGATACAAACTAAAGCTGGCAGGGAGGCTCCATCAGTGTTCATCGCATCAGTAGATGAGACCCATTTTAATTTCAGGTAAGAGCTTTTATCTTGTTATTTTTATATTCAGCTGATTTTAATGCTGTCTTCACAAACTTGAAATACAAGCTGCCTTTAGATTTTATTAAATTTTGAAGATTTGTGCAGCAGCTCTGACAATTTCATATATTTTTTACACTGCTATCAGTGTTTGATTAACTGCGTATCTGACTCTGATGAAAGATTTTGTGGTCTTGTGTTTTTCCCCACCTAATTAGCCTCTTCCTAGTGCTGTGAAAATCACATTTGGAAATCAGAAAATATTTGAATGGCATCCAAGCCTGGACTTACTATTAAAGGGCTATAAAGTGATAAACCTTTTCTTCACATTACCAAACAACGATGCACTCAAAGCTTTATAAACAGCTGCAGACAAGCTCATTATTGGAAAAGTACCAATATGGATCAATCTGCTGTTACTGTATCCTGCAAATCAAACAAGCTCTCACATCTTTAAGGTAGACAGATGATAGGAGGACGGGTGTTAAATCTAGATAAAACTGGACTAATTTTCTGTTTGATTCCACTTCAGTGTCTGCCCTTTTTAGCTGCTAATGACTGAATAATAATCAGTCAAATCTTCTTCCAAAGGCTGCTCAGACAATCAGTCACTCAGGATGACGCATCAGTTCCCAACGCTCTCCGAGGCTCAGAAGAGGGAGCTGCATGAGACCGCTTTACGCATAGTTTCTCCAGGGAAGGGCATCCTGGCTGCAGATGAGTCTGTAGGTCTGTAGCGCTCCTTCTTTAAACATGCACATTTAGTGAGTGCACACCTTATGTCCAATCCAATCAAAGAGTGTAAGTTATCACCAGTGTAAGTTAAATGTCACTGACAATACACCCACTGCAGGCAGTATGGCTAAGCGGCTGGCTCAAGTCGGAGTGGAGAACACGGAGGAGAACCGCAGGCAGTATCGGCAGATCCTCTTCAGTGCGGACGATCGCATCAACAGCTGCATCGGAGGGGTCATCTTCTTCCACGAGACCCTGTACCAACACTCTGATAATGGCGTTCCCTTTGTCAAAATGATCAGGGACAGGGGAATCCTGGTTGGGGTCAAGGTCTGACCACTTAGAATTCAATCTGTTTAGGTTATCATCTTTTTTTGATAATAGGTTTGGATTTTGATTCAAATCATTGTCTGCATTCTTCAGGTTGACAAAGGTGTTGTTCCCCTGGCAGGAACTTGTGGAGAAACCACCACACAGGGTCAGTCCGACTCACACTGGACCGCTGCTGATATCAACCATTTCATCACCACAATTTCCCATTTATGAACATTTCCCTTCTCTGTTTTTTTCTTTGTACTTTTTACACTTCTCCACAGGTCTGGATGGATTGTCTGAGCGTTGTGCGCAGTATAAAAAGGACGGTGCTGTCTTCGCAAAGTGGCGCTGTGTGCTCAAAATTAGTGACGTCAATCCATCAAAGCTGGCTATCACAGAAAATGCGAATGTTCTTGCACGTTACTCTAGTATCTGCCAGCAGGTCAGAACTCCAAATCATAAAGCCTAAATGCTTATCCACACATCACTGTGATCTAATGCATATACAGTGTTTGATCATCTATCTTTCCTTGAACAGCATGGCATCGTGCCCGTCATAGAGCCAGAGATTTTGCCTGATGGTGATCATGACCTGAAGCGCTGCCAGTATGTCACTGAGAAGGTAGGGAGTGGCTGCACTGTTACTTTTATGGGTTTTTCAGACATTCTGTACCACTCTGCTGCTTCTTTAGTAAAACAGTGTCTGTGTTGCAGGTCCTGGCTGCAGTGTACAAGGCCATGTCAGACCACCACGTGTACCTCGAAGGCACTCTGCTCAAACCCAACATGGTCACTCCTGGACACAGCTGCTCCACCAAATACAGCCCAGAGGAGGTTGCAATGGCAACCCTCACTGCTCTGCGCCGCACAGTTCCCCCAGCTGTGACAGGTAAGTTAAAATGATGCTCTCATTTAGAGGTTTAGAAACAGAAACGTGTGCAGAAACCAAACAGAACAAATTCATGTTTTCGTCCACAGGAATTGCTTTTCTGTCAGGAGGTCAGAGTGAAGAGGAGGCCTCTATCCACCTTAATGCCATCAACAACTGCCCTCTGCCCAAACCCTGGGTCCTGACGTTCTCCTTCGGACGAGCCCTGCAGGCGTCTGCACTCAGAGCCTGGAGAGGACATAAAGAAAATGAGAAAGCCGCCACTGAACAGTTCATCAAGAGAGCAGAGGTAGCTTCCAGTCGTTTTTTAATGCACACATAAAAAAAAGAACCAGCTGCTATTTGTATGACGTTTCTCTGCTTGTTTGCTCTCTGTTGTATCTGCAGGTGAACAGTCTGGCATGTCAGGGAAAGTACACCGGTGGAGATAACTATGGAGAGGCTGGCCAGCGCATTTACGGTTCCTGCCATGCATATTGAAGAGTATAAAAAGAACATTTTAACTAGCAGTGTGTTCTTCCACACCATAACAAGATATATTACAGAGGAGATGTACTGCATTTTCTTAGGTTATTTCAGAATATTGGCCTACATAATGATATTAAATGAAATATCTTGCCTTGACAAATGAGAACAATCAGAACATGGCCTTGGGTGTTTCTAACACATGTGCTGAATGAAAGGCTC